GTGGACAGAGTGAATCGCGGCCACTCGCAGGACCCGGGTGTGGACCCGCGGAATCGCGGACCCGCAGGGATCCGGCCGATCCTGCAGGGTGGGGCCGGCCTCATGGACGCGACTGGAGGTCTCGGCTGAGCCGGGGGATGCCCCGGGCCCCTTCCTAGCGGGTCGTCTGTCTTCCTACTAGGGGCAGGGGTACACGCCTCCTGCCGCCGGGATGAGGTCTCCAGCCGCACCCCAGCCCTCTGCACCTCTGGGCAGTTATGGTCCCATCGGGGACAGGCACAGGGTCGGTATTTTTGAGCCCTGCTCGGGCAGCTTTCCGGAGCTGGCCACATCGCGGTCCTCCAGGGCCTAGAGGGGCCTGGAGAGGACTAAGGTCCGGATGATAATAACGAAAAAAATCATCCTGGCCAGCATTTATTGAACACTTCCGTGTCAGATTTACCACGTGTATCACTTAGTCTAAACACCTCACGGAAGGTGCTGTTCCTACTTTCAGAGGTGAAGCAGCAGACCCAGAGAGGTGGAGTGACTTGCCCAAGGTCACACAGCTAGTAAATGGCAGACCTGGGATTCAAACCCATGTCTCGGTGTCCAGAACTGGTCTCAATCACTAGACTAGATGCCCAGTGGCTCCAAGGCTCAGGTGTTTCAGACTAGCTCCTCCCTCTCCAACCCCTCCAACCAGACAGGCCATCTAGGCCACACCTGCTGGTCTTTGCTTCCCCCAAGAGGTCGCCAGACACCAGGTGCTCAAACAGAAAGCTGCCCCCATGTCCCTTCTCCCCTAAGCTGGAAAGCCAAGGCCAGACTACCTGGGTCCTGAGAAGACAGTGACATCTACGGGAGAGATGGGCAGAAGGCCAGGACGCTAGGGTCCTGTGCCTGCTGGGCCCCCCGGGAAGCCTGGGTTGAGGACAGTAGGCGTTCTCCCCGGTAACACCCAGGAGCCGGTTTTTCAAGACTGAATCAGAGGCTTCCCGCCCTCCTCTGCCAAGCAGTAACCCTGCTGAAAAAGGGGAGCTTGGGTGTGGTAGCCCCCCTCCCCCAGCTTATGTGAGCTTATGAGAGCTTCTCCCTTTCTTCCCCCCTTCTCCCCTTCCTGCTCCCCCCACTGCAACTCTGTGTGGTTGTGGGGTTATTAAGTTTCTGGCCCTTCCCAGGCAAGAATGGGTGGGGATGCTGGGATCCCGCCAACATGCTCTGTGCTGGGGCTGTAACTCCTTTTCTCCGACCCGGTGTTCAGGTTTGAGGGGAGACGGGGAATGTGGTGGGCAGGTGGCACTTAGCAACTCTACAGTGGGCGTGTTCTGAGGATAGGAGGGCTCAGCGAATAGTCAGAATGGGAGCATAAGACATTCATTCATGCTACCCATATGTATTGAGCACCTACCATGTGCCAGGCACTCTTCTTGGCACAGAGGATACAATAGTGAACCAGACAAAAATCCCTGTTCTTGGGGAGCTGCCATTCTAACAGGGGGAGATAGGCAACAGACAAGTTAACAAGTAAATAAAGAAGATACTTAAAGAGAGTGATAAGTACTATGAGAGGATGGCTTGGTAGTTCCGTGGGGATGGGCAAGGGGGCTCTTGGAGGAGGCAACTTTGGAGTTAAGGTCTGAATGACAAAAAGAAGCCAGCCTTGTAAAGATCAGGTAGAGGGCACAGCCAGAGGAGGCTCTGAGGCTGGACCAAACTTGGAATAGTGTGGCTGGGCCAGGATGCACCCAAAGCAGCAATTCTGCAGGGGTCTTTGGGTCACATGAAGGAGTTTAGAGTTTTTCCTCCATCAGGTGGGAAAATGTCGTAAGATTTGAGGCCAGAGAGTGATGCGATCTGGTTTACATTTTAAAATAGAGACATGAAGTTAAATAACAGCCTAAGACTGAAAGACAAGCATTCTGCCAGAGCAACATGTAATTTTAACTTCATGGGCCTGAGCCGTCTGGACCACAGGGGCAGTTCCAATAGGCTGGGGCAAGCCGGGGAGGCGGCCTGGAGGAGGTGGCCTGGAGTAGGCCTTAGCATGCAGAGAGGACTGGGATATTCTGGGCAAGGGAAGAGGCAATAATAATGATGACAATAATAATAACAACTTTCTTAAGTCGAATGTTAGGCAAAGTGCTAATCGAGTTAGTTGCGTGATCTCTTTGGATTCCCATAAGCACTCCAAGAGACAGGAATTCTGCCTGTTTTTCAGATGAGGAAACTGAGGCCCCATCAAGTGAAGTGACTTGCTCACAGCCACACAGCTGGTAAGTGACAGGAATGAGATTTGAACCCAGGCCACTCTGCCTCTTCTGGCCTGGAAGGCAAATTCATTAATCAGCACCCACTTTCCTTACCACCATTATCCCTCCCTCACCACCATCATTCCCTAGGTGAGGACACAAAGCCAGGCTGAACCAGGGCATCAAGTGTACGCAGAGTAAGGAGGTTGGGAATTGATGGTCAGGATGTGGGGCCCTGGGGAAGAGAAGGAAGTTTGAATCTTGGCAACTGACTGAAGGATGATATGGATGGAAGTAGTGGTAATAATCACCAGCATTTATAGAACCCTTATTGTGTGCCAGGAACTTTTCCCGACACATGCATGATTTCCTTGGAACTCAGAGAATTTAAGACACTTGCTGAAGGCCACACAGCTAGTAAGTGGAGAATCCAGGTTTCAGATTTATGTTCTTAGCATTCTGCTAAGATGTATGAGGGGATGGTGGAAGGGGAACCAGGGGAGGCGATGACGTGAGGATTTGGTGGGGTTTTTTTTTTTGAGATTTTTTGTTTATTTGTTTGTATTTGTGGGAAGAATTAGGTTTGTTTGTTTGTTTGTTTTAACGGAGGTACTGGGGGTTGAACCCAGGACCTTGTGCATGCTAAGTGCCAACTCTTACATTCAGCTATTCTCTTCCCCTTTTTTTTTGGTAGCATCATTGAGTGTAGTGAAGTAACTTGACGGAGCAGTAATGGTTTATTCCTTCAGAATTTATTTTATTTTTAGTACCCAGAACATATTAAGAGTTCCCACAAACCAGTAAGAAAAACGATGGGAGCTGCAATTAAAAACAGACCCTGCAATTTTAAAAAATGGTCAAAGCCTTAAACAGGCAATTCACAAAAGGACAAATCCAAGTGGTTAATAAATCACGAAAAGTTGTTCAGCATCATTGACTAGGAGGGGAGTGAGAAACAAAACCACAGTAAAAGGTGAGAGGGATGCACCCCCTGTCTTCTGAAGCACCTCCTCTGTGTCCAGCATGAGGCTGGGAAGTGAGGGATGGGGGACCATAGAGGTGGGGCTTGTGTTCTTGCGAAGGAGACAAGGAGACCCTGTTGAGGGCAGGCACTATGGCTCGGGCTTCTTTGTCTCCCCAGAGATGGGCACAGAGACTGGTGGGCTGGTGAACATTAGGATCATTCGTCCATCCATTCATTCATGCCACAAATATTTATTGAGCAGCTGCTATGTGCCAGGCACTGTTCTCTGCACTAAGACTAGAAGAAGGAATAAATCAGACAAAGTTCCCTGCCCCTTCAGAAAACAGTAAACAAGCTGAATGAATGACATATGTTTTCCACCAGAAAGAAGTGAGAGTTGTGTGGATTACCAGAGGGCACAGCCAGTGCAAAGGCCCCGAGGATGGACTTTACCTAGTGTGTTGAAGGAACAGGGAGGAGGCCCATGTGGCTACAGGGAATGAGCGACGTAGGTGCCCTGGGACGGGTTGGAGCAGAGAACCAATGTGACATGACTTATGTTTTACAGGCTCACTCTGGCTGCTGTATCAACAAGAGAGCGTCAGGGCAAAGGTGGAAGCCAGGAGACACAGAGAAGGCAACTGCACTAGTCTAGGTGAGTGGTGATGGGGCTGGGCCAGGTGGCACTAGAGGAGGTATTGGAGAACAGATGAATGAATGAATGAATGGGGATGGGTGAAGCCCAAGGGCTCGACTGAATCCAGGACAGCCCCCTGGAAGAGGGGTCTGAAGGGAGGGTTAGGGTTAGCAGGAAGTCCCTTTTACACAGAAAAATATAATTTGGCATAATTTGATCCTCACCACAAGCTGGCCAGGTGGACAGACTTTCCCCATGCAGACCAGGCATCTGAGATCCAGGGACATTGAGTTGCTTTGGGGACAGGATCAAAGTTATGACCTCAGGCTTGGGAGTCAGACAGGAGGGTGCAGCCAGCTGTGACTTGGGATGTGTGATTTTTTTTACTTGTGTGTATATATATATATATACACATATATATATATATATATATATTCTTTTTTTTAATAATTAGCTGTACTTGTAC